ATATACATTTATGTATATATGTATATATATGGTGTATTCATGTGCACGCGATCCTTTGTTGGTATTGATCTCGCTTGAGGAAATGGTATATACCTACTTTTACTATTCTATAAATAGATTCCCGATTTCTTCATGGATGCCTGGTACTTCCTTGGCTTCACCTCTCTCGTACTCACTACATACCTACTATCTCTGTTCTATAAATAGATTCCGGATTTCTTCATGGAAGCGTGGTCTTTCATTGGCTCTCAGCTTGACATTTCTCCATTGCACGACATCAATCTCACCGATCTCGATGCACAGCAGGATGTGTTCCTGACCATCAAGGTGAGTCGGACCAAACCGCAAAACCACAAAACCGCAACAATTTAGCACCGAAAAAATTCAACCCCGAAAAAATTCAACCACACCCTCCCCACACACACACACCCTTTCTCCGTATTGACATGTGGGACTATTCGTGTTGGAGTGCGTGCGTTGTAGTGAGATTCTTTATTTGTATGTGCGTGTAAGCTCTTTGTTTGGTTTCATTCAACACACTAGTTTACGTATTCAACGCATTTGTCTGCGTTCACTCTGTGCCAACAGAAGACACAAGCAATTCCGTTCAACGCACTCATTTACGTTCACTAAACCAAATCCTTATATCAAACCAACAGAAACCGGAGGAGCAGGACGATTTGGCCAACATCGGCGAATCTTCCCCCGCTCTCAACCTCACGGAGAAAGGTAGGGGTATATTACGTTGATTTTCACGTCCGAGCGCTGGGTAAGCAACCCTTTTATGTCGTAATTATACGTTTTCTACAAAACGTTACTTATCACTCATCCCTTACGCAGATATCATTCCCAGTTGAATATCTGAAATACAAATCTGAAAACACGATTTTACGTTTTCCATCCGAACTTACCAAACCCTAAACCCTAAAACATCCCCTACACACATGATTGCAAGTTGGAGATCTGAAAACGTAATTTTACGTTTTCTACTCAAACTCACCTACCACCCATCAATTACGTAGATGATTCCAAGATGAAGGTCTCGTTCAACTGTATGAGCCCAGAAGCCGTATTCGTTTACGATTTCGGTTCTGAAAATAGCTCCGCTGTGGTACTTACGGGGTCACTACTGTATGAAATGGTTGCCCTGTCCAATGGCTCGTATACTTGGACCGGTACATTGAACAATTTCGGGTCTTACAGCTACTGGTTGGGCCATGATGATACCCGGGTTACGCTTTTGTACCCCTGTACGTTTAATCTGCAATACAGTGACCAGGCCGATGAGAAGGTATGGGTTTACGTTTTGTACGTATATGCGTATCTGTTCGTTTTCTCCCATTTTCTTCGTTTATAGACAGGGTATGCTTGGAGTCACGTAACAAATGATGGGTCCAAGGCGATACGAGGCTCCCATTTTCATATCTCAGTACGCTGAGATTGCAATACAACGCCCCACTAATTACCACTAATTACCAACTGATTGCCCATAAAAATACCCACCAGTTGCCCATTAATTGCCAACTAATTCCCCCCTCCCATCTGTTGCACAGGATGACTACAGACGCATCCGTGACATGCGCTGTGAGGCTGGCACCGTGAGTGCTCGTGTATCCATGGTAGAGGTGGATCTACTGAGCAGGCTGTTCAACAAGTACACAACGTTCCTCTCCGACCCGGAATTGGACGAAGCAAGGTGTGTGTAGTGTATGTAGTAGCGTGCGTGTGTGTGTGTATTGTGATACATGGTATAGGTGTGTGCTAGGCATGTAATTGCGTGTGTGTGTGCACATATATATATATATATATTGTAGTACATAGTATATAAGTCGTTGGGAATGGTGGATGTCACTTATCAAATGTATACTATGAATGTACCTACTTATCAAGCTCATGCCATGGTACATGCCTACTTATCAATACCATGCATCCGTCCCTGCCAGCAACGAGAGTAAGCGTAAGGAGCGTGATGAAAAGGAGACCGAGAAGCTTTTAGGACAGTTGGGTGCTCTGGGGTACGGTGAAGAATGGTGCAAAACGGCCCTAAAAATAAATAACGGGGACCTGGAACACTCGGCCAATTGGCTCATCACCTCGCACGACCGGAACAAACGGCCCCCATCTATATACTCCGGTAGGTAGATATGTACAACTAGACGCGTGTTTGTTTACGCATTTCTTTGTGTGCGAGTTAATATCTTTCTGTCTCGTTAGGTATGTACGTATTCCTCGTCGTTTGAGTTTTACGTTTTCTGTTTGCGCGATGATGGACAGATTTACTTTTGCTTATTTTCATATGACCATAAATGTCACAAACTAAATTGACACATCCTCTGTCGCAAATTCCACGGTACCGCATTTGACTGTATCTGAGTATCAATAAATAGCTGCACCCGTGTCTGCGTCTACGTCACCCATTTCTCAGCGAATGAAAACCGTTCAACAACTGTCCTTCACCCTCGCCCTATACCACACACGTCGCAAACTAATTTGAAACATCTCTTGTCGCAAATTCCACAGTACCCCACCTGCCCGTATGCGAGCAACAGCAAATAGCCACACCCGTTTCGTCTGCGTCGCCCAATTCTCAGCGAATGAAAATCGCCCGACGGCTGTCCCGTTCTAGCGGTCCTGTTTTGGGACGAACCAACTCACACGCAGACCGTATAGCTACGGTTTACTCAGAGCAGTTGACTATAAGTGGGGAGATTATTGTGAGGTTCTACACCACTATGGGGTGAGTGGGGTTTGAGGGTATACGTGTATGTAGAAGCGTATACGTATATGCAGATGTAGATATGTAGTTATGAACATCCCCACAAGCATAGACACACACACACACACACACATATATATATATATATATATATATATATACTTATCCATATATCTAACACATATTACACTCGCATATATACTGATACGAATAATTATCCCCGCAGACACGTTAAGTAGATCTTAGTGTATGGAGGCTGTATTAATACTTATAACGCGTTTTTCCACACAGACAAGTTGTGCAACCGTTGGCGGAGGTGATGTCGTGTCCTCTTATGGTCGATGTGAAGGACTGGTCGTCTAAAAACAAACAGTTAACCATCAACTCAAGACTATCCTACGACTTCTTCAATCCTGGCAAGGGCGCATGGTAAGTGATGGGCATGGCAGTGTACACTTTGCTGTATATACGAGTGTATATATACACACGCACACACTCACTCATACATATATATATATATATATATATATATAATAACACACACACACACACACACACACACACACACACACACACAC